GCACACCTTTACATCTTACATATTCTTTCGAGACCTCTGAGTCACCCATTTTACTTACGACATTCTCTACTTCCGACTTAGCCAACTACCAAACTTACACAAATGCTGCTATTGTGTCAGGCAAAGTTATACTAACGTGAATCTCTCACAGAGTTGATTGAATTGATTGTCCACCATGAGGAATCTATATTGGTACTATATAAATCTTGAGTATTCTACTAATTTCAAATATAGACTGACTATTAGATTGTTCATACGAACTACTCAAATCTTCGTTCCGTACATGTTTCTACAAGTGGCTGTGACATTATCATGGGCAATAGTAGGAATAAAACAATAAAGGAGTTGTGCGTAGGAAATTGGCCATCCGTCTAGTCGCTAGTTGTAAAATTTGCATGACTATATTATTACCCTTGGTGTATCAGCCTCGTATACTTGCTTGTAAACTACAACTTAAACATCGTGATACTACAGTTAAATTTGAGGTAATCTATTTGACATATTACCAGCGTAGATCCCGCACCATCATATCTTCTATTCTCCTCTTTTCCAATTAGCACCTTGATACTCCGGTTATCCATACTGTTGAAGTCATATCTTTGACATTACTTACCATAGCTTCAAATGATTGGGGTTTCGATTTTCGCAGCAACTCACCTTTTCTATTTGCCCATTTTGACAAGATATTGCCATGTGCTTTACGATTTGGGATGGATATCCACATTGAAATCGTGATATTCCTAGTCCTGGGAAATTTCTTTGGTACAAGTGAACATTAAGCCCAATCTGCTCGCTTCTTACTTGTGTAGCGATGCTGTTATTGGCCCTGCTAGAGTTTTGGTGGATTTGGATAAGTGATTTTCGATAATTTATCATAATTCAGCTTTTTCTCTAGTTGATGTGCAAGTATACAGTTTTCCATGCTCTTCGATCTGTAAAACTCTTCGCAAAAATTCAATATTTCACTTCTACCGATATTTTTTCTGCCCTTTGCATCACTTTGTCCACTTGTTATTATTTCTCCCACCTTCATTCCAAAAAACTGCCTCCTATATTTTTGCACAAAAGTTTGTCTCCTCCTACGGATGTTCATATCCTTTTGGGCGTGTATGTGGAGGGCGTTTGAGGCCAGAGACTGATCTGATGAGAGGTGTGCTAATTGAAACGAGAATGTACTAGGTCGTACTTGAAATCTTGAGGCTTTGGCCGGAATTCACCCTGTTGGGAATGAGATATTAATTTGGTAAGGAGCAGTCAATCATTGCCTCGTTGGCCAACTTGTTCGGTATTAAGAAATTTGACTGAACTTAGCTCTCGGTAAATATTTCACTCCCAGGTTCTGAGGGGACTCCGCGTACAGGTGTTCAATTTTCGTCCTCCAATAAATGTATGTGTGTATTAATTTCGTATCAGATAAAAGTGCTACACCTAGGAGGCATGATGCGGGTGTGTGATCCCTGAAGACTCCCTAGTACCTATCTGACCAGCTTTTTAGGCTGAGTGAGTATATAAAATAATAGATAAAGAAAATTGCCTAGAGAAAAACCACCCTGCACCTTGTCTACTTTCATGTCAAATTGCTAAGAGATAGTATTCTCTCAAGATAGATTAACCCTATTGATTTAAAAATCGCCTTCCGTAACATCTCGTTACGGCTATTTACTTAACGAATTCCCCCCATCCGTTTTCTGCTAACATAATCTGTCCTCTTGGTGATGGTTCATGTTTCGATGTTCTCCATTATCGCAGAGCTAATCGGCTCTCTGCAAAGTGCCGAGGACGTCTCTCCTTTCTATATATACGTCTGCTGTCGAAATTTTCGTGCCCGAATCGATCATGGTAGCTCTTGAAATCACCGTATCCTGTCCTCACTGCTATCCGACGATGATACGCCTATCTCCGAAATCCAAGCTAAAGTGGTCGTTGCCGTCTCATACACAGGTCTGATTCTTCGCACCGACTTGATCTATTTTCAAGCCACCAGGATTCTAGAGCTTCCTCAGCCTGCTTTTGAACGAGCCAGTTCAGAGCTACAAAGGTATATTTCTGCTTACTCCTTGAGTTTGGGATGTCTCTCAGAGCTGCCTTAGTCAATTTTTCCGCCTGCTCGTTCCCGATAATTCCGGAATTTTTTTTTTTTTTGCATCAGATTTTAATTGCGCATGCAGCTATCTAGCTATGACACAATATCAGAGAAAAGTACAGAAAAGATGACTCAGTTTACAATAGGAGCACTCATGCCTCAGATTTCATTTGCAAGTACCACTGCGAAGTTATGGCAGCTTTTTCTTCACCCCAAGTCAACCCTCATCCGTGAATACCCACCCAGGGGAACGTCTCAAAAACCCTGAGTTATCCAGACATGCCTCCATCATCTTTCAACTTTTCTCCGCGCGATATGTGATCTGAGGTGTCTCCTTCCCAGGTGGAGTAGGTGCCCAGGCTACTCAAACCATACCAGAGAACACCACCAGGAGGCGGACCACAACACCTTCCATCGTTGGCTTGTGTTTATAGTGTCAGCTGCACTCTATAATTCCGGAATGACCCGGTATCCAACGGACTTGGACTGATAGGAACTGGCCTATCTGAGTCGTAAATTTGTCAACCATAGACTGAGATGAGCTAGTTCCTTCGCTTTGTAGAACATGTGCAGCGTTGGGGTTGTCTAGAAGTACCTTTACTGGGCCACCGCTTGCCTTCGTTATGGCTTCTTTCATAGCTTTCTGGGCTCCTTAAACCTCTGCTCCGGGCATGAGACTTGGACCGGACCCTATCATTTTACCTGCTCTGTGTAAGGTGTATCCCAAAATAGATTATGCGGGACCGCATGAAGATCCGTCCGAATAAGCACAGACTGTCTCCGCTGACAGACTAGCTATCTATTGCTTGGAATGATCTACTTCCATCTGCTTGTCGCTTCCAGTGGATTCGCTTGTGGTTTAACCTCTCGGTTAGTACAGTTCACCTGGACCTTCAGAAGTCGGCACACTCTTGGAACTGATTTGCAGCCGCGTTAGGTAACGATCTAGCACTGAGAATGCTCGATTTTTCTGGCCTGTTCACAATCCAAGCCGACTTATAGTATCTTTTGGTCTCTCTATAGATCAAAATACTAGCGGGTGCCAAGCATCAAGTCGTTGAATCCGTGATGCAGGCCGGAGTCGTCTATGCTGTAGCAAAGACTTCGCTGGAGGAATATCTAACACTCGATGCAGAGCCATATTTGGCATGGTACGCCATGCTGGTAGCGCTGCTCGAACTGCATTTAGTCTGGTGCTGTCCAGCGGATCAATATGCCAGCCGATCCCGGTACCCACTTTCTTGTCACGCTTAGTAGTGATTCTAATCAGCCCTGACCACCATGCCTCTGCTCCATGTAGTGCCGTGATGAGGACACAAAACTGCACCACTTTGATCATTGGACCCGGGTCGATGCTACGTCGGACCGAGTTAACATGACGTATAAATTAGGTTATACGTTGGGCTTTCACGCACCGCTCTTGGATATGCTGTTTAAAGGAAAGTTGAGAGTCGAGCCATACTGAGAGCCATTCACAAATGGGGTTGATTGAATACTATATCCCTTGACCTGAATGCCGAACCCCGTGGTATCTAGTCTTCTCTTTGGTTTTCCTCCTATCACTAGGGGCTCCGACTTAGCTGGATTGAAGTTTTCGTACTCCAGTGGTTGTTGAATTAACTGGATACAACACATATTAGCAATTTTAGATGATAGACTGCAGGCTAAACAATTATTATTACTACAATGGTTGGATGGTACAGTGGTGCATCATCTGAGCCGGCATCCATTGTAGATTTATGGTAGCTCTGAAACGTACTCTATTCGAAAAATGAAATTATCGATACGGATATGACGAGACAAATTTACATTTCTCGCTGTGCGAGTCTACACGAATGATAAAGGCATGCTCGTGTGAATGAAGGGTTTGCAACGTTCCTGTGATGGATACTCTAGGAGGAAAGTCGATTGTTTCTGTAAACAAATATACATGATAGTGGTATTTGCTGTAAAGGGTTTAAAGAATTCAGAAGTACTTGAAAGACGTTAACTCAATAGGGATTGATAATTTTTCCTTAGGAAGCTAATCTGCCTACGACGGCTCCTGTCCTTTATGTCCTCCCCAGCGTCGCGTTTAAGCTCCCCTCCTAGCCTACCTGAGAATACTCCATTCTCCCCGGCTACCCTCTTTCCTGTGACATCCTCCCCCCCCTTAGTACGTACTCTCTTGGGTCCTTCCTCATGCGCAACCTTGCATTAATCCTTATGCGACACTTAGATCCCTCTTTGTGCGTATCCTTGCATTCTTCCCCATGCAACCTTTCGCGTCTCTGTAAGCGCTGCTTCGTTGGCGCTTAAAGATCTAGCCGGGTTGGTCCTAGTGACCAATCCCAATCCGGGCCCAGCCCGTAATATTTGCATGTGAAATCCGGAGTATAGGTGTCTCGACAAAACACTCATCCAACATGTAGACACAGAACCAATCGTGTGTCATAGCTAGATGGTTTAATACACATTAAATGATTTTTAAAAAAAATCTGAAGGGACTACAATAAAATTCTTATCTTATCTCATCTTTACCCCATCTCAGTCCACATCCGTAAATATTCAACCAAGGAAAAATGTTTCATCCCAACAGGAAGTTCAACAATAATAGATAAGTTGGTGTATGCCAAATCTTTTGGGATTTATAGTTAAATTACTTGACCAATCAATCGTAATTAGTTCACAGACAAGGTGTCTCAAGAAAAGAGTACTTGATATAAATAGATAAATATGAAGAGTCCTTGGTATAAATTATCACAATGTGTGGAAGCTCGGGACTCTCAACGACCATTGCTTATCAAGAGCACGTGCATAGTGTTGGATCATTCTCAAGTTCATATGCCCTGCGACGATCGTTCGTTGCAAGAAAGCCGAGTGACAGTATCCTATCTGAACTAACCCAAATTATATCGTACCCTTACATGTTTTGGTGATGAGTCTCTTTTCGTATGTCCAAAGTATTTTTACGCTAGATACAATAGACACTAGATTCACAAGCTCCTCGTCCGTTCCATACAGCACGGTAATTGAAGCACGGAAACATGGCGAACCATCTGTCACACCTCGGAACAACCAGTCGTTTACGGTAAACAAAAACCCAGACGAACAAAATCGTAGCAAGTGCCCACTGGCAGAGCCGTCCAAATGGAAAACGCCAGAGTTTTACTTTTATTACTTAGTTTTCATAGTGGTCGTACCATGCATGTTTTGGGTTCCATACAGCGTTTCTAGACGTCAGTCTTACAAGTCGTAATAACGCAAAGCTAACTCAAGCAGCCTCTGACCCAAACTATCACAAGTTTGAGCACCTTCTTTCTCCAGGATGGGTACCGGGCAGGAAGATAGTAAGTTTTTGACCTGACACAAGGCGAAGCTAATGTAATAGGATATATCTGATATTCAATATTCTACATTCCGTGAAAACCTTCCATATCTTGGATGTTTCGTTATAATACACCCATTACTTCGAAAACTCTATGAGATCCTTCGACCGCAACCGCAATACTCAAAACCTAGCAGGGACTCAATAAGCTCTGACCTAGTAGGCGATGCCCGCATGAATCATAGGATATCTTTTGATTTTATATTTGCATTAATTTTTTTGGTTTTCTTGCACGGGTTTTCTGCAGCGAAGATTCTTGGGATCCTCTACATAAACTACAAACTAGCTACCCGACTGCCTCGCAAATTTATACCCGCAGCAACATGGATATTCAATATATCAATCCTATTTGCGAACGAGATTCATAACGGTTACAAATTTGCGCGAATCTCTGGATTTTTCATGCCGTCTGAAGTCGGTTTGTCACGCAATTGGGGAGAATGGTTAGACGATTACAGTGGTATTATGTCTAGATGGGAAATTCTTTTCAATATAACCGTTCTTCGTTTGATAAGTTTTAATCTAGACTATTATTGGAGTCTAGACCTGAAGAATGAGAATTTTGAGGTTCACTCCTTGTTCCAATCAGAAAAATATATGGCTAATGATTACAAGAAGAAACAACTCAACCTAGCAAATCTTTCTGAAAGAGATCGGGTCGCAACGCCTGCTAAGCACTGTGATTATTCTCTCCGAAATTACTTGGCTTACTCACTCTACGCGCCCTTGTATCTAGCTGGTCCCATCATAACTTTTAACGACTACATATCTCAATCTAGGTACACCCCAGCATCCATCGAAAGTTTCCGCACGATTAAGTATGGTATCCGCTTCTTCCTGTGTCTCTTGGCTATAGAGCTTTTGCTCCATTTTAACTATTGTGTGGCTATTTCTAAAGGCAACCCACGCTGGTCAGACTATACCCCGGCCCAGCTTTCTCTTCTTTCTTATTTTAATCTTCATGTCCTCTGGCTCAAACTTCTACTTCCCTGGAGATTCTTTCGACTTTGGGCCCTTGTCGACGGTATTGATCCGCCAGAAAATATGATTCGATGCCTATCAGATAATCCATCCACGGTAGCATTTTGGCGAGGCTGGCATCGATCTTACAATAGATGGTTGATTCGATACTTATACGGCCCATTAGGTGGCGCATCTTCTGCTACACGGGAATCAACCTTGCGCTCTGTAATAAACTATATCGTGGTATTTACCTTTGTAGCCTTATGGCACGATATAAGTCTAAACCTCCTAGTTTGGGGCTGGCTAGTTGTATTTTTCATGTTACCAGAGGTTATTCTGAGTTATATTTTTCCCCGTAAGAAATGGGAGAATCATCTAACTACCTACCGGGTTATGTGTGGTATCGCTGCAGTTGGTAACCTAATGATGATGATGATGGCCAATCTAGTTGGTTTTGCCGTGGGAGTTGACGGCTTAAAAAGCATTATTAGCGGTATATTCCGGGATTATTCTGGTAAGCTTCCCGAGGTATAAATTTATTATATATTAACATGTCAGGGTTTGTCTTTCTATTCTCCTCGTGGACAGCTCTCTATGTCGGGATACAAGTTATGTTCGAAGTAAGAGAGAATGAGAAGAGACAGGGTATATATTTAAAATGCTGAGTATGAATGTCCGCTGTTTTATGATAATATATGCAATATGACCGAAAAGATGAATATAGTTAAGCTGCATCATTTTAGAAAAATAGTTTCAGCCTTTAAATTCTTACGGAAATATAAGGCAAAAGCATCATAGTGACTCTCGAATTTTCTCGACATCTATAATCTCTATTCTCTCAAACTAGTATAATTCATTGTCAGAGATTCCTGATCAATTTAAACTTCAAAAATTACACACGCAGGAATCTTGGTTTCTAAGGTTCCTCACAGCTATACTGATTTTTATGTACCCATAATTTTCTAAATGGCGCTTAATGAATGTCATTCTTTGCCCATCTCTATGTTACAAAATTGCCATAAGGCAAGGTCAGTAATGGTACCCGACAATTTTTCAAGAATTCTTAATTTAATCATGACTAGCTTTTTAAGTTCGTGTAATTGTTCGTGTAAGATAGTTGCAATCTTCCGGAAATATAATGAGCTTATGACAAATGAGACCATTTTTATAAATATCTTGCGCCCAAAGATTCATTGGCATCTACAAGAATAAATTTACAGCACACACATAAGATTTGGTATCAGAAAGTTTATTCCCATGGAAATAAACATCCCACAGTAGCTCTGAAACGAAGGCTTTTTAAATAGATATAGTAATACTAATGAGATTTTTAGTTTTATTTCATTGTTCTGTTTTGGAGCCCTATGGGTCCGTACAGGGACTATAAGTTGTAATATTTACATGGGAGGAAACCTGGTGAAAACCCCCTAAATATTTCTGCTGGTTGTTTTTGACTTTCCTATTTGTCCTTAAAAAAGCGCAGTTGCGCTACAGTGCCATCCATGTTAGCTAACCACATCCTCTCTACCGATCCCAAGAATTGCTTGACATCTTCCTTTCCATTATTAGCATTTCGACCGCCTTTGCCATCCGGAATTGCTCTATCCAATCATGGTTTATAATCTACAGTGTGATTCCTTTGATATTTTCTAGGCTGTTTATCATGGCTTCGTATTACCGATAACGAACCATTCTCCAGATCTCCTCTCTACCAAATGACCATTAATGGCAGAACATGATCACGTTGCTGGTTCTAGTTCTGGTTCTAGTTGGTCAGTTTATGATCAAAATAATTTCACGTAGGCTTCTTGTGGATCTGACTCATCGACAATAAAATGTGAGTAGATCTTGAGACTAAAAATACGTGATTGATTACTCTACAGCACAAGATCAACATACTTCAATATTCTCCCGCAGCACCTGAGCTGATCAACAGCGTACAATTTGCACGGTTGGTTTTCAATGAATTGGGATCCACAATATACTTAGTTCGTGATTAATATCTACATGGACACCTTGGACTGTATACTCCAGGCACTTTTCTTTGTGTAAATATGAGTTGAGCCCCATGTTCTCAACTAGAATTTCTATCGCCAGACTACTTCGGGCCCTCGTCATGTTATGTTGAAGAGAGAACGGCGATTCCTTGAGGCTTATTTCCCAACGTTCTCACTGTCGACTTAGATGGAATTTTACTGCTCTCCAGCTTCCGGTATCTACGGTACAAAGCTATCGCGGCTGTCGGATTTACATTTTAGTTGGTTTAACCCCCATTCTTTTTATTTTTCAATAATTTATCGTGTACTCAGATATTTAGCTATGACACATGATCAGTGCTATGTATACATTTCGGATGATTCGTTTGGCTTCAGAGACTGTCAGAATGATTTATCTAGCTGAAGTTATTTGTATACAGAGTATCCCCATGCAGATCTAGCTGGGACGCTTGATGAGCCATCGGAGTAGGCGCTTATAGGCTCCGGCGAGAGGTTATCTATCGATATCCTTGCATAATCTGGTTCTTTCTGCATGCCGACCCCAATCTGTTCCTGGTTGATTGGCTCTTCGAGTATGGCATTTTTACGGGACCTTCAGCGATCAGTAAACTTAGAGCACTGTTCTGAAGTCGTGTAAGATAGCGCTCTGGAACAGTAACCGGTCGAAATTTCTGGCCTACTCAAAGTTCCAGTCATCTTAAAAAATCTTGTGGTACTTCTCTAGATTTTAGAGCTAGCGGATGCCAAACATCTAGTTGTTCAAAGTGCGCTGCTCCACGGAGTTGTCTTTGCCCCAGGGGGATTTCTGCCGGTGAGATGGCTGAATATTTCCGTAAAGCTGAATTTGGAGTTGTGCTCCTAGCTAGCTGTGCCACTTTGACACCCTTAACGATTGTTTTGTCCAGTAGATCAGTATGCCAGCCAGCGCCGGTGCGAACTCATTTGTCTTGCCGAGTGGTAATAAAGGCTAAGCCTGGCCACCATGCCTCTGCTTCATATAGTGCCGTACTAAGGACACAGGCGTGGACAGCTTTAATTATCGATCCCGGTGCTACACCGTGCTGTACATTATTAATCCAACGTATAAATTGTGTTGCACGTTGTGTTTTTCCGCACCATTCTTGCACGTGCTACTTAAGTTTCAGCTCGAAATCGAGCCATACTCTAAGCCATCTCATATATGGGGACGGGGAGACATTGTGACCTTTCACCTGAACTGTGAGACCTGAAGTGTCCAATTTTTTTCCTAGACCCACCACCTATTATTAAAACTCTGACTTGACTGAATCAAAATTTATCTTGTGCTCTTCTGCCAGTTGGACGAGTCTTTCTAGTTCTTCCTGAGCTGACGAGACAGTTTCGGCGACAGTGCATCCTATGCTGGGGATGGCTATATCGTCAGTATATCTGAATCTTTTCCCTTTTCCGTCTTGAAATAGAATGGCAATGTTGTTAGACTCTACGAGTCAATTGAATAATGTATGAAGTAAAAGTAAAAAGTGTCAATTAATTCCTGGCTGCCATTTCTCTTTCTGATACTATCTAGATTATGTACGTCTAGAAAATGGCAAATGCTCTATGTATCCCCAACTTTTCTCCATGAACCAAGTTTCTCATGGTTTGGAACGAAACATCTCTAGTCAGAACAGATAGAGTTCTTATTGCGACAGCCCAAGCGAAACATCTTTATCCGAAATAAGTAACTCCAAGCTTTGCAAACCTGACACCGTAAACTCTATAATGATCGCTTCCAAACTATCCACAGTTTGATAAATGTTTAGGAGGAAAGCTAGTGGTGAAAATGATGATTCCTGGGGGACACCGCACTCGACGATTTTGTTGCCCGTTATTTCATCCTAATGACGAGCATGAATTCTACGCCGGGTCAGAAAAGACTCAAAAAATCGGCATAGATACTTTGGCCACCCCTGGTCCTGCATTCTATGCAATAGGCGCTTGTGAAGTACTGCATCGAATACTCCTTGCACATCCATTGTTACCATGGCTGTGACCTTGTTGTTTCTCATTAATGCCTCGGCGTCATGAATGACACTGGAAACAAGATCGATAGCTGAGCTTCCAGTAAGTGCACCAAAAGGTTGTTGGGGAACTACTTAATGCTCGATGACCGACCACGACATCCTTTTGGCTACGATGCGTTCTAATTCTTTACCTAGGCAAGAGAGAAGAGAGATAGGTCGCCACCCCTTAGGAGTGGATAGATCTCGTCCTGGCTTTGGAAGCAGGACTACTTTTGCGGCTCAAAACGCCAATGGAAAGTGTCCATGATCTAGACACGTTTGGAATATGTCTCTCGCATACATTCCAATTACTGTCTAGCATCCGTTGAGAAATCTCGCAGATATTTTGACAGTTCCCGGGGCCGTGTTTCAGCCGCCGATAGTACATTCTGTAACTCCCAGTAATAATATTGCATTGTCCCAAGGGATCAGCTCCAGTTGGTCCAGCTCCCACACGGAGAGATCTTATCTGCGCCATATCGAGCCATCAAAGTATCCCTCGAGCTCTTCGCCCTCTCGAGTGGGTCGGAGAGCCATCAATCTTCTGCAACCCTTAGTGGGGGTGGCTTTTGACACAACTTAGGCTTAGCCCATTGCATCAGTTTAAATACCTGCGCATCTGTGGTGGTATTTTCAAATCTCTTCCTCCAGTGTTCTCTTTTAGCTGCTTTGACAGTAGCTCTGAACTTTCTGCGGGCTTGGTCTGCTAGAACTTGAGAGCTTCTAGAGTCTCTGAACTCGCGCTGTCTTGTCTTGCATTCCTCGTTTCATCATGGTGCCGCCGTTCTAGTTGCTATTAGTACCTTGCGCTATACTGCTTTGCCAGCATCGAGTACCTCTGTGAGTGCAGAAGTTTGGACTTCCATGTCTAGGATATAGTTCAACGGTCCTGGTTTTATCCAAGTTTTGACATATTGGGAGAATTTTCCAAGGCTTTGGTCGCTCACAAGTAGTTCCTGTTAGATACTTAAAGGGGGGGATATTCCAGTTATCTGAGTGGATCCTACAATGGTTATATGATCGGAAGTACAATATATTACCACTGACACCGACGCTATTACTGGGATATTACTCCATACCAGATCGAGTACATTTTTGCTCCTTTGCGTTGGAGACCCGACTCTAGTTGCTAGATACATATCGTGAGCTGTCACCCACTCCATTATCTGGTCGCCATTGCCATATTGACGTGAAGTTTACGGTTGCTAGTTCTTTCATACTGAGTGAAAATCTCCTCTAATCACTGTAGGTCGTGATGGCTTCCACAGTAGTAGCGGGTCTAGAGTGCCACTTGGGCCTGGCACATGATATAAATTTACAAATGTTACCCCAGAAAATCGTACAAAGCAGTAGTCAGCTGTTTAACATGCGGATGGGGTTATTTGAGAGTTGCGTTGGCCTTTGCGGTTTATTGTAATTGCCTGTGGCTGAACTCCTCTCTCGCCGATTGGGCTATGGCTATCAAAGCCAGTGTGTCCTTTAATGGTTAAAATTCCCTCATTCTTCATCTTCCATGGTTCCTATACCATAACAACGTGAGCCCCTGCCTCCCATACTTGTTGCAAGGCTATTTCCATGTTATATCCGCCCTTTCCCACGTTTACTTGGTGAAATTAGAGAGTGCTGTTTTTATCTTTGGGTGTGTTTGAGATCGAATCCTCTAACATTAACCTTGCATAAATGTTTCTGGGGCACAGGTGACTACTACAGCTTTGCCCTTACTTTCTAAATAGGCTCGTGAGGCATTAAAGTCACGATGTCCACCCTTGCGGATGATCCTTAGCTCCGCTGGTGTACGATGTACAATTATTCCATGTTGTTGTCTAGTCCGAGACATGCAATTGAGCTCGCACAACTCATGTGGACCTGCACAGTTAGAACATTTCGGAGTTATCACCTGACACTCTGGAGTCTCGTGCACAACCGCGCAGCGTCCACAACGATGGCTTTTTGTGCAAATTTGCGTTGGGTGAAAACCCCAGCAGCACTGACATTGCTCGAATGGGCGTTCACGTGTAAAAGGTATTGCCAATCCACTTTCTTTGAAAAGCCTGAACTTGAGGTTCGATGGTTTCTGGCGGAAGTGTACTAGCCAACTCGTAGAGTATTGTCCGAATTTTGTTGGTGATGGGCGTACCAGAATTGGATTCGCGTCACAAACAGATTGGCATTCGGTCAAAACCATCTCATTGGTGGCGGTTATGCTCCATTACCAAGTCCGAATACAGAGCGATACATGTGATACTAGCACTGATATCCATTCCGATGCTGCTTCAATGACAACGTTATCCTGTTGGAAGTATGGCCTTCTATTCAGAATAGTTTCTCTAAGAGCATCAGATGCGCGCTCAAATTAAATACCCGATCGAACCGCGTATGTGGCTATGATAGCTGACAGAGCAACTCCTGCCCGTTCAGTAATCATCTTTTTGATGGTGATCGGTGAGAGCCGACGCCATTCATGTTCTCTTTCCAGGCGTACGAAAAGGCGTTTGTCTACCTTTGAAGACGGTTTCGTTGTTTGATTTGTTTGTCCGCCAAGTCTTCTGGGTAATGGAGCGACAGGAGGTTCGGGCAGCTTGGCAGCTTTTTGAGCTACTGTGGCCCACAGCTCTGTGTTAATCAAGGACCTTGCTGGTAGAGCACTACTATTTGTGATAGGAATGCTTTTCTTAATATGTGTCACCGGCTTTGAAGAGTTCAAGGAGAGGTTTGGGACCTTCCTAGTGGTCTCACAGGTCTCCGCGGAGCCTGTTGCAAATTGAGTCACCGTGGGCGCGATATTTGCAATGAATGACGTCAGGATTTTCGACGCGCTTGTTTCCGCGTTGGTTTATGCCCAGGTGTCAATATATTCTAGGAACTCTTGGGCGAGGCCAAGTCATTCCTTTCTTTCGTGTTTTGCTTTCTGCGTTGCATTCGCAATACCTAACAGACTTGGAAGGCGTTGATGATGATGATGCAACAGCGGGGGTTATTGCACCGGATGACGGTTCTTTTGTGAGATATTCAAGTGGGTTATGGGATTGTGGGATTTGCTGAAGTCAGTGTTGTCCCAAGCGGTAACAGCGTCTGAGCTATTTAGACTTGACTTGAGATACAAGCCCAACTGACATACCATTGCACCATCCGCCCCTTGGATAGTATGTAGCCGCGCCCTCGTAAATCACCGTCGTAGACATCCTACATACTCTTTCAAGTCTCGCGGCTGGCTTCAGACTTCCTGGCGCGTCCCCTAGACCATTGGCTTTCCATGTCAAATTTCAGAAGACAGCTCGTCAGGAATATAATTATATTTGACCAAATCTCATACAAACTTTCATTCTTACAGACATCAGGTAGCTCACTTCGAATACCTTGGACGATAAAGATGGCATCCAGTAACCTTCCTTCTGTAACTACGCGAAAGAGGAAGGTAGAACAACCAGAATCTTTGTCAAGCAGTAAAAAGCTGAAAGTTGCTGTGAGCTCCGTCAATGAATCGTTGACCACACCTGACCCAAAGTACGCCCTTTCCGCTGCTCACGGTATTGTGCTGAGGAAATACTACCCTCATGAGATGAATAATGCGCGCGCTCAGGCTTACAAAGACAACGCGCTCACACGCCCTATCAGTATCCTCAATGCCGCACTTGCCGAAACTCACAAGTTGCGAGAGAACACCAAAGTAGGGAAGGCGGTGGTCCATTGGTTCAAGAGTGACTTGCGGGTAAAGGATAACCATGCCCTCTCGGCAGCGAGCGAAAAAGCTAGGGAAGCTGATGTACCCCTTCTCGCACTCTTTATTCTTAGCCCACAGGATCTAGAGGCGCATTTGACAGCTCCCATTCGAGTTGATTTTTTGTTACGATCACTGAAGCTATTACGTGACGATCTAGCAGTCCTAAATATTCCACTACATATCAAGACTATAGAAAAACGAAAGGAAATACCCACCCTAATCGCCGCACTTTTGGCAGAATGGGAAGTGAAACATATATTTGCCAATATTGAATATGAGGTGGACGAGCTGCGGCGAGATGCTGAGATTGTTCGCGGGATATCTAAGCAAGAAATAGCATTTGACTTACGGCACGATAGTTGCATAGTGCAACCTGGAAAATTGCTCAGCGGCACTGGTAACGCGTACTCGGTCTATACGCCTTGGTATCGTGCATGGATGGCACACGTTCACTCCAATCCCGATCTTTTGGAGACTTTTCCCGCGCCGACGCCCAACCCGTCATCAATAACCTCTGATTCAACCTACACATCGCTATTCAATTGCCCTATACCCAAACCACCCGAAAATAAACGACTATCTTTTGATGAGACCAAGAGATTTTCAGCTCTCTGGCCGGCTGGTGAAAGAGAGGCATCAGACCGTCTAGAAAAGTTTTGCAAAGAGCGGATCACTGGCTACAAAGCCAAGCGAAATTTCCCGGCCGAAACCGGTACGTCAAGTCTAAGTCCACACTTCGCATTAGGAACACTGAGCTCTCGGACTGCTGTCCGAGCTGCGAGGGAAAGTAGTGGCTCGAAGAAGATAGATGGAGGAAACGAAGGAGTTCAGACTTGGATTTCTGAGGTAGCATGGCGAGATTTTTATCGGCATGTTCTCGTCGCCTTTCCTTATGTCTGGTACGTACTTTTCCTCCCTATGTTCTTCAATGGTCCTCAATTTTCTCTTTATGCTGCTCATCCTGAGGTTTCTCCAAACTTAGCTTCCGAATTTTCTCAGGCGGGATCCTCGTTTAAATTGATAATAAGTTTCTGCAAAATTACGCATTGACTCTCACAAACTAGACTACACACAATCGGTGATGACTAACTGTTTTTAATTAGTATGAATAAGCCTTTCAAACCGGAGTATAGTAAGATTGAATGGGAATACAACGATGACCACTTTAATGCATGGAAGGAAGGACGCACGGGGTATCCGATTGTCGATGCTGCTATGCGACAGTTAGCTTACACAGGCTGGATGCATAATCGACTACGTATGGTCGTGGCCTCTTTCCTCACAAAACACCTCCTGCTTGATTGGCGTCTTGGTGAGCAGTATTTTATGCTTAATCTCATCGATGGCGATTTTGCCTCAAATAATGGGGGATGGGGCTGGAGTGCAGGTTCAGGAGTAGATCCACAGCCTTACTTTCGAATCTTTAATCCCGAGCTCCAGTCGGAAAAATTCGACAAAGAAGGTCACTTCATTCGTAAATGGGTACCAGAACTAAAGGGAGTTCGGGGGAGTAAGCCAATCCATGACCCGTACGGACGGGGTGCTGCCTCAGAAGCAAAGAGCGGTGGATATATTCCACGTATTGTGAATCACAAGGAGGCAAGAGAGCGGTGTTTGCAAAGGTACAAGGAAGGTTTGGGAAAGGTGACCAGTTGAATTACTACGGATTGAGTGAGGCCCGATCGTATCGATAACGAATGAATGGGCTTTGGTCGAAAATAAAGAAACTAACACACCAGTCATTCTCGGCAATAATGCTGCATAAAACATTTTCCGGCACCAAGTGGCCTTGAGCCCGTTGAAACTAATATAACTTAGGAAATCTTTCTGTTGCTTAGTCTCTTGAGACATATGCACTGAGTCAATAGAACACATGAGTTCCAATCAACCGAGATCATAAACTACCGCCTCACTATCACTTAAATGATCTAGCAACTTCAAGTTTAGCAAATTTTACGTTGCGCACACGTGCTTTGCTTCTAGAGCATATCAATGGTGATGGGGTTATGTCATTCCGACTGAAGTCATGAGCTGTAAGATTGCACAAATGAAGATCAAGTTAATCATTGTGATTCGGCATTGTCGTAAAGTTTAAAATGGTCCTTTTTTGAATAATTTAATTGTAACTAGCTATCTACACGTGTTGGATAACTCTTTTGAGGCTAGTGAGACTCGTACTCTGTATTTCATTAGCAAATACCACTATGGGGTACGCTTGCTTACAAAAACAATCGACTTCCCTCCGTGAGTACCCACCAAAGGAAAGTTTTGAAGCCTTTGATTATCTAAGTATACCCCCGTCATCCATGCATGTATGCACCGCGAGAAACGTGATTGAGTTCTGCAGGATTCGAAACAGCGGTCTCCTTTCCCAAGTGGGATATGTGTCGAAGCCGTCAAGACTTTTCTCATGAAACCAGCCCATATAATGTACAACATCAACCAACTGTAAATTAATTTACAGTGTCGCCTGCACTCTCGATGATAAAGTCGAGTAGTGTACAAAATTCGCTTTGAAAACCTGTCTTCCAAAAATCGAAACCTGACCTCTTCCATCTTTGTATCCATCCCTAATATCACCCTGTCTAACTATCCTACTGTCTCTTACATCCATCCTCAAAGTAGGCCCGTCACGATTTGTTACCTCCAACGGATATGAAAATCTACGCGGGCATATATTTGGTGGCTATTTGAGGCCAGAGGCTGATTTAACGAGGAGTGTGGTCATGGAAGTAAGGTTGTACCATGTCGTACTTACAGATTTGATGAAAGGCTCTTCTGCTGTGCACCCCAAACTATCAAGACGATAAAAGTACTCTTCCACTGAGACTTTTAAATTTCAGATAGGTACAGGAGATGTTTATCTATGGCCTACACCAATTGCCTATTAATAAAGCCTGTCGAGTATTAGTCGAATAGAGTACAGGTTGGTATCGACGTTGAATTTCTTCGAACAAGCTGGAATCATGAGGCCATATGTTAAAGATAAATGCCTCTTCAGGATAACCTGGAATCCATGGAATTTCTGGTGTCGGATGTTTAGTTCCTTCGCGGAGGCGGGCTTGGTTTCGGGCGAGCTGGCAAATGAAGAGGTGGTCAGGCGGTCATTCCGGCCCGCAAGCGCAGGTCACAAGAGCGTCCGAGTGGTGTTCACCAAAGTTCCCGTGACCTAAACGAGCTGCAAGGAGATGACCAAGCGCGTAGCGGCTGGGCCTCATAAGTTCGAGGGAACTGCCAATGTTAGCACTAATTCTTAGTTGGTGCTATCTATCGGGAGTATTTTAGAAATATTAGGTGGTTGGTGGCTTGCAAACGTTGATCCCACACCAGAGTCAGGTGACATTTTTGCAGCGGCACAGGTAGTTCATCTCCAAGGGCCGCGGGGAGGAGTTAAGTTATAAAAAGCTGGAGACAACAAAGCGAGTCGTGCATCTGCAAGGAAGCCAATTATCTGGCGGCCAGCGACGAGACGCCAAACTTCAATTGCTCTCCCCGTGTGCAGCACTTGTCACATCAACTGGACATGATCGCTCTAGTTTATGAGCACGCCATCATGCAGACGTACTTTTAGCTCAGCTAATGATCATGGCTCCTACACGGAACGGCATCTTCTAATAGGACAAGGTCCCATCTGTCAGCAGAGGTCGTTGCAGGCCCGAAACGGCTTCCCTATTACCTCACACCTGCCAGCATGAGTAGCTATTCTGACTCTTGCTGCTTCCGACACATCAATTATCCATCTCTCTAGTCCAAGATTTGAACCAGAAAGCAGCCCTAGATTGCTAAATAACTGACAGGTAATGCCTGGTTTAGAGATTAAACAAAATCAACCTGTCTGTAGAAGCAACACCCTAGTTGGGTAAGATCCACGTGTTATAAAATAGCTAAAAATTTTGCTAGTCTCTGCCACGCCACAGAGGTCTCTATCTTCGTTCGCCCTATATTCAACTCATTCTACTCCGGGATGATCAACGTGCTCCGTCTACCCTCGTTATAACCGTATCACACACAGAATGTCGCAATTCAATTGATAGCAACATCCGCTTAGCGATAAACTTGTCCTTCATGCCCTGCAGCCTGCAAACCAGGTCTTAGACTCTACCCTTGTACTTACTGCAAACATCTCAGACGTCCGTTGAAATCCGTTAGCCTCCATACCACCACTATCGGGCTCATGGGTCTCTAACTACAGGTGGCTGTAATTTAGAAATGAAAAATGAGGGTACCACGCCCTGTCGAATTGATGAACCACAAATTACTCCTTGGCGCCAAGCTTATTTCCAAGTGTGGTTTCGGCAAAAAAGAGTCCACCAGATTGACCAGATTACAAAGCTCGATGCTATCACCAGCTGATACTATTCGATGCTAAATCTGAAAGCTTAGCCTGCATTCTCAGACAGAGTTTTGGGGATTATAGATGTTGTCTGCTCTTTGAAAAGGCCTAATATCAACCAGATAGATGGAAATCAACAGGGCGGGTAGAGCATGGTCAAAGATAGCCCATCATAGCAATCAAAGTTATATGAACTGAATATGTTATGTTCCACTCTCAGTCTAGCAAGTTAGTATTTGAGCCTTCAAGTAGCTAATTCTGCAGCTCCGTACTGCTTTGCACATGGAGGAAACTATAACGCTTTAATAGCACGGAAGTAGCAAAGAACACTATCCAAAGAGGTTTCGACATGTAATCTAAGAACCATAGATATATAGCTAGAGCAGTGGCAAGGCGCTGCTAGTTGTACTATAACTTATGGTGCCTCACATTAGAATACTAGGGTATTGTAGGGGTTATCGCAAAAAGTATAAAAGCATTGAGTATCATGACCATTGGGGAAATCCGGATTGCATTCTCTCTCATCTGCGTAGATAATACATTGCTTTTTAGAAACCCTGAACTCAACTCAGTAAAGAATGAAAAGAAAGCTTATTATATGACAACACTAGTGGCGTAACGGCGCAGTAAGTTGGACTAAGCGGCATCGTAAATCTCGCAACATTTGCCATTGTCGTCTGATGTTCAGGATTGAGTCTGAAGACGGAGAGTTTATTCGAATGATTGAGTACCGGCATATCATATGTTTGCTCTTAACTTCTGTGAAATGCATATTTAAATCCCGGATGGTCTAGTCTTTAGTCGTGCTGACTATCGTGGATAGTTTCGATGTGCACCAATGTTTGCAAGTTCGTGGTTTAGTTCAGGGTAAGTGCGAGACGTCGGTCTCAAACAGCCTGGCCGAGTCACGGGTCAAACGGGACGGCGAATATTCCACGCTGGCTTTTTTTAGAAGCCTGTACGGTTGTTGCGACCCTCAGACAATGCAGGGATCAGCGGCCATGAGGAGACTGAGACTATTCTCAGCATTAGCAGCGACGCAATTGTTTACTTGACTATCATGACCCCATTTCTCTAGAGGCGAATTAATTTGTGTATCCCCAAATCCTTGAGTTTTGGCAGTTGAGATGTATACGGACAGCCCTTTGTGGCCCGGCCGAGCCAAATTCATCTCCAGACTAAATGTGGGTCGAATCCTTAAATAAAGTTGTGCGGCCCGGGAGGCGAATGAGTAAGATTTCTTGCACACTTGATTAGCCTACAATGATGGATGACGGGGAGTGGGGTTAGCAGGAGATCGAAAGCTGTAGGTTGGGTAACGTTAATGGTGCTGATAATGCTAGCGGCAATAATTGTTTGTATGAAGGGATACTAAAGCTGTGCCTGGAAGCCACCATCTTACGGTCTTTCAACAATATTTTCAACCACCGACAAATAGTGTCCCATTATCGCCCGGGAATCCTTTTTTCATCTCAAACACCTCCACCAAGCCCTAGACCCTCGTCCACTTCTGCGCCCAGCCCCAAAACCGATTCGCCTGACAATTCGCCTCCTCACGACTACCCTTCGCCCGCCATCTAACCTCAAACCAAAACGTTTCTCACAACCACTATTTAGCTCGCTCCGCTTCATCCTCTTCCTATTCTGCTCCCCTCCTTTCCTTCCCCGCTCTGCCTCATCCCACCCTTCTTTTTATCGCGCCCATTTGAGGACTTTCCTCAGAGAGGACTGGAGAAAAAAAGGAAAAGCCTGTGCTGGCCATCACGCTCGTTAACCTAGTTAAATTTATTAGGACTCTCCAAACAGGACTTTAGTTTGTTCTGGTTACTCCTATCATTTTCTCCGACTCTACGCAGACACTTTCTCGACCAAAGCGTAATCAACGTCTTGATATCCTTAGCAACACGTTCCGAATCATAACTGTGCGCTGAGCTGCTATCAGCTCTGCGGACTGGACCGCGCGGCTCTGAAACATCCATATGGCTTTTGGACATGATTCTAGATCTTCCCTCATCAGAATAAGGGACGAATCCGATCCAACCTCGAGCTACGGAGGCTACCACAGTCGTCAGGGTCTAGCCCCGCCAATTATAAGTGTATCTGGAGGAGGCAAAATGTACAGGTATGAAAGATGACAACTCTAATATCTATACGCCCAGTCTAAAAATTCCAGGCCAACCACGCCGTGGGCATGGGCTTTCATGATCACAACCATCGTTCAGGCTATGAACGTTTTAGCCATTGAATCGTACGCATTCCGCAACCTATTTCAATTTCGTGTATCTAATCCTCGCAGGTATCTCTTCGCAAAATTTCAGTCAAGTTTGATGCCAGGCTTAGATCCTACCCCCCTCTCCAAAACCATTCCAACCTACTTAACACTATTTATCTTTGGATTTCTTTATCAAATGCTTCTCGTGTACGATTCGCTGCGGCTGAAGAACACTATTCAAGTCATTGGGCTTTGTATTTACAACGTTGGAATGCTCATATATGCAGCCATACAATTCGATCAAATCAAACGGGCGATAACGGGATTATCGGAAGCGAAATACATTCACCCAAGTAACACTGTATGGCATGATGTGAGACCATTTCTTATGGCCGTACCCTGCATCATTGCTGCCTTCACCTTGGCGCTGTCCATTATCGCGTGGAAACTCTACGATGAATTTGCATGGACAATCTATAAACATATAAGCGCAGACTTGAGAATGAAACGTCGTTTTCTAACCTTTCAGGTAAGAAACCTCTTTAAATTTTAGGCTATCCTAAACTAGTCAGATTTACATTGCTTTGTTGAAGTTTGATTTCTTCTTCTTCCTTGGGTTCACAGTTCAATTTGTTGTAATTGTGACTGGACTTGCGGATGCAGAATACGCTCTCACCATTGCTGCGATTCCCTTGACCGTACTAATCCTTACTATGGCTGGATTCTGGACGCGGCGAGAAAATAAAATTGGCATGGTCGTTACCCTCTTCTTTTACTTCTGTGGATTAGCGTACTTCATCTTTAAGCTTGCCCGAATGTATCAAGGCAAGCATGAGAGCAATTATCTTCCTGTTCGGAAAAGTTTGACAAGCTTTGCCGTTCTCACCATTATCTTGATCATCCTCACCATAATTAACGCCTCTGTTTGCACAGCAAACTTCGGAATGGGCCTCAAGCCACATATAATGAAGAGAAAAATAGGCGGAGAAGAGGCGGCTGAAAAAGACATTATGACCGAATTACCAGATCTAAAACATGGACCTGTTTCTAGTCGAATGACGATTGATTGAGACCCACCTTGACTAAAGGTAAAACTAATATAAAAGAGAGCTATATCGAGCATGACGATTTTGTTCTTGTTTAACGACAAAGCCATGATTACTTTCCACTCTTTTACGCTATTTCACAGCATATATTGTGGCTTTACGCTGAGGCAGCTATATAAAGGTTTGCTACCCGTTTGAGCAATAGTTTCTTATTTTCTGGATGGCGTTATTGGTCCAAACAGGAGTTACATAAATGGGAATAAGGCGTGTGTTGAAACCATTTCTGGCTTTTTTTACTGTAGGCTCGGTTGTGGAGACTTACGGTACAGATTATATCAAGAGGCTTATCGGATAGCATTGATTGCCTTTGCTCTACTTTGACCCATCAAATTCAGGGATCGAGAGAGGTAATGCGACCTTTCTTGAAATGATTTGGGGTATATTTATTACAAAAAATTCTTGCGATTGGCGTGGATTTTCTTGACATCTTTTACGATGTGCAAGTAGTGGGATAGTAATCACCAAAAGGTTCTCGAAGTTCTCTGGCTGCAAAATAGGATATGCTCGCATGCGACTTCAAGACTAGAGATTCTGGTGAACAACTCCCAGATATAAGAGAGTTAAGGTACAAACCACTGCAGTGTAGCAAGAAATCAGTTTCTGAAAGCATATTTGCAACTTTAGAACTTTAAGGAAAGCTAGCACGATCTGGATGGCACTTTTTGTAGTATCGTCAGATTATGTTCGATGAGTAAATCGGCAGCTTTTTTCAGGCACCAAAATAGGGTCAACCCTTCAGCCGGTAAAACCAAATGTGTTGAACGCTTTGTGCTGATGGAAGAAAGGCGGGACAATAGATTGTCACTTATGGCCTTGTGCAATATAGAGTTTACTTCAGATCCCAAAAGAATCTTGTTGCCAGCATATATAGTACAGTAAAGAAATCCCAAATCAACCGATACTGAACTAAGTAGATTGAATGTAAAGCCTTTGGCTGACGCCACAGCTTGTAAGATGTGTGAATTATACTTTTAAATTAATCACGGTCATATAGCTGTGCATCCTTGTGACTTAGACGCAGATTCGTTAGGATAATGTAATCATAACAAAGTAAATAATGCTTGCTGTGTTCATGAGATAGATATCCGTTTGCCCACTAAATTCCTACTGGGATCAAGGGTAAAGAAGGCCAGTCTTTCATCAGTGATTTTAAGCATGGAGACGATACGATCTAGAGAGCGTACAATTACGTTGAGCAGTCCTTTGCTGATACCTCTCTGTTGGTGCAAGCGACTAGAATTATCCCTCTATCCTGAGTATTCGCCGCAGTGATAGACATGCAGACCCATGAAGTACGACAGCACTCCATCACTTTGAATTTTCTCTCTGTGACAAAATTGAGCTCATTAGCCTCGTCTCAAGGTAATATAGATGCAACGGCTATGTAGACGAAGCTTCAGTGAGGCAACTAGTGATGGCTGGCGGTAACATGTTCTCTAGCCGTTGCCGGTATGACGAACTAGTAGACTTGTCCCCCTCGTCGAATAATTATATAGCAGCGGCAATTAGGCAACAGATTGGGGTGGGCAAAGTAAGGTGATAAATTCGTCACCAGGCCCCACGCACGTCCTGATCTCGTATAGAACTCGGGACATGTACGTGAAATCCAACATCTTCTTAGGTATCGCGACCGATCAATCTCCCCTCGTCCCTCGAATCCCATGACATCAACCGCGGTAGCAGTAATGGGGATGGAGCGGGAAGAAGCTGGTGCGAGACTACCGGCGGCTGATCGAGGCTTAGTCTTGGCCGGCAGAGTCCCTATCGAGCATCGCGTTTGTCGGGCCAAGACTCTGCCACTCCGATGCTGGTTAAAGGGGGATCTTTATTTTCCATGCGTCTGCATTGTTTCCCTCATCCTGGTCCCTTACTAGAGCGAAAAAGCCGTTCGCACACACTTACACACTTACAGGCATACAGCGGCCGGCCAGCCTGTACGAACGTCTCGGACCCGTCGCCCTACATTCGGATTCCGTGTGCATGTCTGGGGGGTGGAGGAGAGGCCCGAACACGGTGGTCTCGGACACGCTTCCATGGTCCCGCTCTGTATGTATGGAGAGACACCATGTCCCAGCAACGTCAGAGACTAAATAGGACAAGGAAGGATCATATACTCAATCTTTCACGACGAATCCAAAAGCCTAGGGAAGTGACTACCTCTTTTCAGCAACATTCCCTCGAACAAGGCGCGCCTCCGTCTTCTATGTGTGCTCATCATCTGTGACTCTGCCGTGATGCTGGCCTATTTTCGATATGCCCTACTGCTATTCGCGAGACCTCAACCACTTGTGAATCAACCGCTCGCCCGGTTTTTCGGATAGACGAGGATTTATACTGCAGAGATTGGGGGCGAGATGGAGCTACCGACGGGGGCTCAGGGTTGATCACTTTAGAGAGCTAATTTATTTATAGAATCAGCATAAGTTTTACCGTTAGCGCTCCCTCTACACATTACTGGCTTTTTGTGCCGGGCCAATGTCAGCCCCACGAATAGAGCTTCCATTTCCGACACTCAAGTAGTCCACGACGCCCGAAGATGGCCCCAATGCAGTGGTATGTTCACTCAAGGCCTGGATGCCGTCACGGAGGATAAAGACTGAAAACCTATCCGCCGTGTCCTGTACAAATCTAGGTGTAGATTATTCACCCACAATCCAGTTTAGTCAAATTTCGTGAAACCAAAGAAGTTGGCTCAGATGGCAATGATTCAAGATTACTAAATTAATCTCTCCCTCTCAACGAGATCAATCCTAAACAAAACCTCATCATATTCACAGGTACGATTTAGTAAATTCTCATTTCAATCACCATGCCCCTCATCGACTATTCTCTAGTCCTAGCTGGCCATTAAACATACGCCCACGATAATACAGATACCGGTAGGAGGACAAAAATCATGGCGCAAATTTCTGGGAGGAAGTTTTCCAGGATGGAGGTGAGAGATCTAGGCACAAATAGGCAAGATGATGCAAAGGAAGGATACCATCTTGACGCATGTGAGATGCGGAATTTTGGCGAGGAGATTTCAAAATTCAAGAGTATTGTGCGCACTGAAACTAAGATTACGAGAACGCAGCTGATACTCTAGATAAATGCCAGAATTGAATGGAGTGTGGCACGCCCCAGGTGGTGTTCGCCGGTGTAGTTTGAGTTGCCTGGGCACCTACTTCACTTGGGAAGGAGACGTCTCAGACCACTTTTTTTTTTTTTTGCATCAGATTTTAATTGCGTATGCAGCTATCTAGCTATGACACAACATAGAAGAAAAGTATAGAATAGATGATTCAATTTAAAAGTAGAGCACTCATGCCTCAGATTTCATTTGCAAGTACCACTGCGAAGTTATGGCGGCTTTTTCTTCACCCCAAGTCAACCCTCATCCGTGAATATCGACCCAGGGGATGTTTCAAAAACCCTGAGTTATCCAGACATGCCTCCATCATCTTTCAACTTTCCTCCGCGCGAAATATGGTCTGAGATATCTCCTTCCCAAATGGAGTAGGTGACCAGGCTACTCAAACTATACCGGAGAACACCACCAGGAGGCGGACCACAACACCTTCCATCGTCGGCTTGTTTTTATATTGTCAGCTGCACTCTCGCAAGCAAAGTCTTGGCGCGCACAAAGCCCAATTCGAAAAACTCCTTGTCAAAATTCGGAATCTCATGCCCTTCGAAGTTATATCCTTCCTCTGTATCATCTTGTCAACTTGTCCTAATCCCTCTCACGTCCATTCCAAAGAACTGTCTCCCAGATTTGTGCGCCACGCTTTGCTTCCTCCGTCGGGTATAAATATCGGCGTGGGCGTGTATTTGGTGACCAGCTGAGGCCAGAGAAGGTCGAAGAGTGGTGTGGTCATTGGAATGAGGATGTACTTGGTCGTACTTGTAGACTCGATGAGACGAAGATAGGGGTCAAACTCGTTGGGAGCGAAATAACGAAGTGGATGAGTAATTTGGATTTTTGCCTCGTGGGCCAACTTCTTTGATATTGCGAAATTTGACTGAACTTGGCTCTGGGAGAATATTTCACTCCCAGGTTCGTAGAGGACACCGCGTACAGGTGTTCAGTCTTGCCCTCCGTCTCAGACCACATTTCGCGCGGAGATAAGTCGCTAGATGATGGAGGCATGTCTGCATAACTCGGGGGTTTGAGACGTTCCCTTGGGTGGGTATTCACGGGTGAAAAGAAGAATAATAATAATCCATTTATGTCCTATTTGGGTCTACAACTATGTAGAATAGACTATTTAAATACAACTTATCTTTTCCATTCTAATTGGGGTCTCTTTAATTTGATGGTGGGATCCCCATTATTGGTTCACCAGGGGGGATGGGTGAAGAGAAAGCCGCCACAACATCGCAGTGGTACTTGCAAATGAAATCCGAGCCATAAGTGCTTTAGTTTTAATATGTGTCATCTATTATTAGCTGTTTATTTTTATATTCATGTGCCAGACAGTTTGCACCCTCCACACTCCTACGGCAGCTTTAGCACGAGTGAGGCCGAGCTGGATCAGGTTGACTACCGTGAAGTACACAAATCTCGTCCCGTCAAAATGACCGGACTGGACTGCCTGACTACACTAATGTGTTGAATATGCCAAGTCCAACCGTCCAGGGAACCAGATTTTAGCATGCCGAAGCGTAATTTACTCCTCAACCACCACGCGCCTGAGCCCCTGACACCCTCCCAATCTATAATTCGTACTTTCCAATCAGTTCCGACCATACCTCATCCCAGCATCTCCTATCATATGCAGAGATTGTCCACTTCATCGAAGACCTCATCAAACCATCTATCTGGACCTCCCATGTTATCCGTTCTCTTCCTCCATTATAACTTTTCTCAAGCCTCGTATCAACATCAACATCGCCATCTCAGAAACTCTGTATACAATCCACCGCCCGGCCTTGCTCCGTCACTGCCGTACCCCTAACCGTGTAAGTCGAACACGGATCGA